TGTGTGTGTGTGTGTGTGTGTGTGTGTGTGTGTGTGTGTGTGTGTGTTAGTGAGAGAGTTTGAAATAACATGGTTCACAGAGTGCTCGATATAGAACATACAGCAGGCTTGTCTGCCTTGCTTTAAATGCTACCCTGTAGCCATATAAACAGTCCGCATATGTTGACTGATGTACTTTTAGCTTTCAATTATTCTTAAACCACCACATGTTTTAACCCATATAGAGTCAGCGATGTACATGCATGTAATCATTACATTGTAATGACGTCTTTGTGCCAGGGTAAATGTAAGTAACTTGGTGTCTTAGTGCACGGCACCATCTATATACAAACTGTATGAATCTCATTTGTGTTGACGTCTGTAGTCTAATGTCGTGGTTTATTCCCAAGAATTGGAGCATGGCAGAAAGAATGCCCCGCCTCCCTACAGATTGCTTATTTATCTTTGGAAGAAACGCACAGCTTGCATCCTGTGATAATGAGTGTACGTGATGGAGTATAAAGACTGAGCACGTCTATTATCATGAAGCAACTCAAGTCTGACTTGTATGTCTGTGTGGACAAATGTTGACTCAGAGTGTGTACATTAGGTTTTATATAGTGGAGTTGACAACTTGTTTTTACAGTCTGTGGGCTAATTCATATTCACTGTGCATGAGTGTATATACTGCATATGATTATTGCTCCGTGATGCATGACCAACTGCTGCGATAAGGGAAGCCAAGAGGCAACATTGCATTGTATTCATTGAACAGTGGTGGATGAGCTGCTGTGTCTGTCAGCTTCTTCACCAAACGGATGGGAGGGAGTTATCTGATGGCTCTTTCTAGTTTGCTTGGCCCAGGAATCTCTCGGAGTTGGAGCCATTTCACAGAGCGCAGATTCTGGCTTCATCTGCAGACCGAGCTCTGACTCTCTGGAGCTCCTCCAGCCCAGATTACACACAGACACATGGCTGCAGTTTATCTCCTCTCCAACCTTCCAATCTTCCATTTTAGTACCCCCCCCCCCCCCCCTCCCACCTTCCACCTTCCTCCTGGAGCTCTCCCGCTCTACATACCAAAGAGGGAAATCAATTAATCTTGCTACACATTGTTCAGACTCTCTCTGGTGGCCTATTAAAATAATCTGTGGGAGAAAGGCACCAGAATGCTCTGAATTCACAGAAGTAGGGGGGTTTGCATTGTGAATCATTTTTGGCCATCTGTACCAAAATTACTTTGCATGTGAACGAGGCCTTCCTCTGAGCTCCATTTGTTTGCAGACACACTGTGGTTAAAGTAGAAAGATAAGAGCAGAGATCTGGGCCCTGTTGCTGTTATTCAATCGATTAAAAAAACAAACATGTGCGAGTGCATTTTGTGTGCTAGCTGATTCCGTTTTTTGCTTAAAACAAGGAGCTGCGTTGACTAAAAAATGTATTTAACTGCGAACTGTTGCTATAAAAGCTATTGCAGCAGGTGTTTAGTTTGTAGCACCCATGTAGGTTTCAGTGGTTGTGTGTAAGTTTAACTCTTCCTGTGGTTTCTGTCTGTCTGCATCCCTTTCTCCAGACGAATCATCACACACGGTGAAAGTGGCGTCTTACATTCTCATCGGAGTGGGTTCCTTGTCAATGGCCATGGGCTTCTTCGGCTGCATAGGAGCCATCTACGAAGTTCGTTGTCTGCTGGGTCTGGTGAGGAAAGATATTCACTTTTAGCACCAATGCTAACGCGCTACATCTCGGCCTCATCTTCTAAGAGGCAGTCACCCTAACCATGGCTCTCCCTCTCTCTCTTCCCACTCATTGCCTGTTATCTCACTAATGTTGAGTTTCTAAATAATACCTCAAAATAACACTGAAAAAACATCAGTAGTGTTTAGCTCTCTATTTTCAACCAGATCTGTCTCTACAGGGTCTGTCAACTATAAATTATTGTACATATTGTACTTACTCATGAAATATTCACCTAAATGCACCTGCTTGAGATCTCAAGCTTGGCTAAGAGCTCGAGATAGATTCCTGCTGGCAGTAAAGCCCTTATGTGTGGGCCGGGGCCTCGCAGCATGTGTGGATTTACAGAGGGGAGAGGGTGACGGGGATAAAGCCCGTGAGATGTAGGGGGTACAGCTGAGGTGGGGAGGGGTGCATAACCTCTACAGCGTTAAACCTGCTAGGGGTTAACTGAAGAACTGCTGTGACCTACTTCTCCCAGAGACCAGCTGGCAAAGGACCCCCCCATCTCACACTCACACACTCACACACACACACACACACACACACACACACCACTTTTTCACTCAGGATCTTTAATGGCTTACATTATTCTTGCAGAAGGCTTTGGAGATTAGAGACTTTAAACACAGATTAACAACAGTTTAAATGAAAGGTAAAAATATTTTTTTTTCTGCTTGTTTTGTTATATAATGTGGGTTTTTTTAACTGATTTTTTTGGACCAGAAACAATATGTGAATTCTACATTGACATATCATTTTTTAAGATGTGCAACATTCAGCAGTTACGCTGAATTATTATCATTTATTTGGAGTTTCAGGCCACCTGATGAATGCAAGTCCAATATTCAGTCTCCTTTTACCTCTGTCTTTGTTCTCTACCAACTCCTGAGGAAAGCCTCTTTACCTTATTATAGCCACTTAAAATGTTTTTTTTTTTATTAAATAAATTGTCAAGGAGATGCAGTATTGACATTGCATTTTATTTTTGTTCATAAATATTGTTATAGTGACATTTCCCTTCATCCCCCACAGTACTTCACCTGCCTCCTCCTCATCCTCATCGCCCAGGTCACTGCTGGAGTTCTCATCTACTTCCAGAGAGATCTTGTAAGACACTAGCTCCCTAATGTACTTTATTAATCTACTTTCCCCCTTACTGTCATTTCTCAATTTCACCTCTTCAGAATGTTCCCTCCTGTCTTTACAGTACTTGTTGTCGTTATTGTCTCTTTTTTTTTTGTTCTCCATTGTTCTCTCTGTCCTAACTTGGTCTTCTTTTGCCTGTTTACCAGTGGCAAGAAGAGTGGGGGTTGTTAAACTAGGGCCTGCTGGGGTATTAATGCTTTCACAGCTGGCATTTAGGTCTTAGCTAAAGCTGTTGGGGAGCCCCCTGCATCCTGTGATGAAACACAGTTTTGTATCTCAACGAATGGAAAGTGACGTGGTGTCGGTTTGTGACTTATGTGACATAGAACGTGAGATGCAGCAGGTGGAGTGATGCAGATGTGTAACAACTGTAGAGGAAGTAGCCAGCAGGCTCTCAAACTGAATGTTTCCATCGTCGCCGTTCTTCGTTTTTTCTTCTTCTTGTGTTTTTGTGTTCGTGGTGTGTATTGTTGCTAAATCTGCTGTCGTATGATGATGCATTTAATTGGTATGTCTAACACTACCTCATCTAAAACAGCAATACAGAAAAACAAACTGTAAAAATATTTACAGCCTTTGATAGACGGATAGATAAATAAGCCCATGGAGAAACCCTACGTCATTAATATCTTGAAAAGGAACATTTGAGTTTAAATTTACTGTGAGGAACTTTTAACTGGTTTTGAAACGATCAATATAAAACGGATCCCAATAAGACCTACAGAAGTAAACAAGACTACCATCAAGAAGATTACATTTCTATTTGTATACAGTTATTCTTGATGCTTAATTAATCGGTGCTCAGCGCCCGGCAGCAGCGTCTCCTTAGAGCTTTGGCTCGCTGCACCGCTGGTCCCATGCTGGGATTCAACACCGGTGCCACGCTGCTGGAGGCCCAGGCAGTATTGCTTTGTAGGAATGGAGGCACTGGAGAACCAGAACAAGGACTGAGGGGGGCAGACTGTCGGATCCTGCAACAGTAAAAATTAGAGGTTTCCAAATTGCATCCTGGTGCTTGGAAACACTACCACATCCGCCCACAAGAGCCGTCAAAATCATCAGAAAATGAAAGTTCCTTGTAGTGGCTTTAAGTCAGTCCGGTCACAACAAACCAGATGTTATTCTGAACTCATGTAAAGTTAACATTTTGGAAAAGTTTACAATTTCACAAGTATGTGTTCCTAAACCCAGACCAATAGAACAGCTGCTACATATGAAGCCAACAAAAACAACATCACAGCCGGAAGTACAAGCCTTAATAATAGAGCAGTGTGTTCGCACTGTGCACGTGAAGGGAGTGTTTTGTTTGAACACACAGACCTCTCTGACCGATTTCATGCTCTGAACTTGGCCGTTATTTCCCAAAACACAAGTCTTTCCTTTCATAAGTCTCACACCTGTAGGACTCGGTGTAGGCGCAGGCTGTCGTGGCTCTTTCAGCTGTTAGCCCTGTGTGTCTGCAGCCTTTAGGCGCGCTCCCTGTGTTTACGGCTCACCACAGGGCAGGGTGGTGCCGTTTCCCAGAATAGGGAGAGCCCGTCCCTCGTCTCCTGTAGAGCTCTGAAGAGACATCGCTGGCCACACTCTGTGGTCTAACACACATAAACACAGAGTTGTGCTCCTACTATTTACGCGATGTTTCAGCCCGGCATGGGACTTCACGGGGCAATACCACCCGAGGTGTTGCCCGAAGAAACATTAAGTTCAGATGCTGCCAGTACATTTCAGAGTGATTTAGCGTGGGCGTGTTTGTTTTTCTTTTCTTCAACACTGTCTCTCTACTCTGCACTAAAGATTGTGTTTTATGTAGTATTCATGTGAAGCATAACTCTGGTTGATAATGTATGTATTATCTCATCTGCAGTTAAAATATGAAATGTCCAGCATCATAAAGGACATGATAATCAACTACACTGGGAAGAACAGGACCACAGAGCAGACCTGGGACTACATTCAGAAGTCGGTGAGTTAACTCTTCACTGGTTCCAACAAGACATGCCCCAAAAGTCTAATTTAAGAATGATAAACTAAATGCACCAAACAAGTCTGTTGTGATAAAGTGTCAGTTTAAATTGCTGCTACCCTTGATACTCCTTTAGTTTGACACCGTGATAATATTGTCATAAGAATATAATATGCTGCAGAGAGCCATGCACAGCAGCAGGTCGGAGTAACGGATGTGAACATAAGTGTCTCTTACAGAATGAGTGCACGTTTTGAGAGAAACAGTGTTTCCTGTGTGAATTGAACTCATAACCCTTCGGTACGAGTCTCATGTTCTTCTCATCGTAATGCTGTGTCCACACTTTTTACCATTTACCACACGTTTTGTTGGCACTTTTGCGGTTCTTCTCACCAAGTGGGGGATGTTGTAGCTGGAAGTGACTGAAATCTCTGACTCTCTTTAGGAATTACACTCAGAGGCTGATGAACGTTTGTACTGACTTGGTTGCTCGTAATGACAGTACTCAGGCCAATCTACACTTTAGACTTTGGAGGTCTGATTTGTGGGTTTTAAATGCTTCGAGGAGAACAACCAGAATTCCATTCACTTGTGTTGTTTCGAGCTGGCAGCAGAAGTTTCAACGGATATCTCAGAACCAGGGCACATAGAACTGAAACTATTTGCACAATCAAACACTTCACGGGTAAATGAGTAATGTTTTGTTTATTTCTTTTGTACTTTGGAGAGAATGAGTCTTTACACTAATCTGCCCATTGCCAATATTAAAACTGTTTTGAATCAGGCTGAAGTCAGAGTGTTCCATGCTCTGATGAGGTTTGTGTGTTTTCTTCACTATCTCCTCCCTCCCTCCCTCTCTCTCTTTCCTGCCAAGCCTCTTCTCCCCTGATCTTTCTGAAAACAGAAAAAAAAATCGGTCTCAAACACCACCATAGAAATGCTCATTCCCTGAACCAATGCATTGTTTTTCCTTCATCTTATTTATTCTATTAACATTCATTTCCTTCTCTCCTCTCATTCCTCTGCCATTTTTTTTCGTACGATTTCAATCCTTCTGCTTTATCTCCTCATCATTTATTCATATCATCCCTTTCTTCCATGCCACCAGATGAACTGCTGTGGATGGACCGGTCCAGGCAACTGGTCTGAGAACGTCTTGATCAAGAACAGCTCCCATAACCTCTACTCATGTTCCTGTCGCAATGCATCCATGTCTGGCACGGACATCAAAGACGTAGGCCTGTGTGAGCAACTGTCCAGAGAAACACCCATCTATGAAACGGTACACAACACTAACACCTGCAACGGTTGAAAATTACTTAGAAATTGTGAATTTACCAAAGAAGCCAACAATTGTGTGTCCAATCTGTCCAATTGTGTGTCCAATCTGTCCATTGTGTCAATGCTGGCCCGGAAAACACGACTAAACAATGTGAGGGAATACATTCTTGTTATCGAGTAGCATAACTCTGTGATTGGTTGTAAAATCTTTAAAACTGTGCCTCCTTGGTTCATTGTTTTTGTAGTCACTCACTCACTCACTCAGGCACCGTGTGAAACTTCTGTTTAGAGCAGCTGCAACTCCGGCCGGCAGTCTGCCTGACTATTCTCACTACTTTATTTGAGATGGGACTATTTCCAATAATGCAGGTTTCTACTCCGCCATGATTCATTCACTGCACAGACGTGTTGGATATCACTTAGTTCAGCTGTTTTTGCTTTGATTCACAATATCTTTAAGTGATAGCTCAATGGTGAATATAACATTCATTTGAGTGTATTTTAATCTTTTCCCATTTAATTGGCATAATTACGTCTTTATGAAAGGGTTTGCAACTTTGGTTTTCTACCCGGTGCGACTGAGACTTACATAAAAGGTAACATTTTTGAAAGGTAACGGAAGTCTAAACTCTGCTCAGTGTTATTTCAGCTGGGTGACGAGTGCTACAGCGCGCCGGCCTGCATTGTTCTGACAGACCGTACACCTTTACTCATTACTGAAGTCGGTCTGACTGGTGTTGTGTAACTCCGGCTGCCGACTTAATCAGCGCAGTGAATACCAACAGCTGAGGCGTGTTTGTGCTGTGTGATTTGATCAAACACCGGGGAACCGCTAATGTTCTGTTGTTTGGACTGCGTGTTCTCACAAACCTGTCTCTGTCTCTCTCTCTCTCTCTCTCTCTGTCTCTCTCTCTCTCTCTGTCTCTCTCTGTCTCTGTCTCTCTCTCTGTCTCTCTCTCTCTCTCTCTCTCTCTCTGTCTCTCTCTCTCTGTCTCTGTCTCTCTCTCTCTCTCTCTCTCTCTCTCTCTCTCTCTCTCTCTCTCTCCGTCTCTGTCTCAGCTAAGCCGTGTTACTCTTCCCCTCACTGACTCAGTCCAAACACAACAGTTGTGCTTTGTAAAGGCTCTGTTTATGTCCGGCTCAGATCACGTAGCTGTTCATCTCTCCTCCATGTCTTTTTTAATCTCCCTCCCTCCCTCTTGTTCTCTCCTCCAGGGCTGTGTAACCAGTGTGGAGAAATGGCTCCTGGACAACTGTGGAGTTATTCTGGGAATCTGTGTCGGTGTGGCAGTCATCGAGGTATCTATCTCTCCCCCAGTCTAACGTTAAAGAATGAGTTCTGTTTTTTTCTAGACTATTCTTAATACCGTACTCGCATGCCATATGCACCATACGATGAAACAGTCTAGTACTACTTAAGTCAGTTCTTACACGCTTTTACTGTAATGCCTAATTTCTATATATATATAAGTAGCGTACATCAACATAGTTGCTAGTTTCACCGTATTTTTGGAAGGCTGCCATCTTTACATTAGTGCTTCTACCGTGTATATGTCACACACACTCAAACATCAGATCTGTGTGGAGCGATGAAGAGACTGTAACCTTCCTCAAATGTATACACAAGATGTTCAACTGGTGCTACATAATCCTGTTGCGCCCTCTCCTCCTGCTCTGGTTTAATAGCACTTGTCTGAAGATGTAGCTCCACCTACTATTTATCTCAAATAACCATCTCCTAATACTCGTATAACGACTGTGGATGGAAACCCACATTAGTTCAAATTTTCGCTGCTGATTTTCTTAAAGTTTGGTTAAAATTAGCCCTAGATCTGGCTGCTGTGTGTTTTTAATTCTTTGGCTTTGTGTTTGAGCTGGTCAATTTCAACTGATAACCAACTCCATTTCCTGCAGCTCCTTGGGATGATCCTCTCCATGTGTCTTTGCAAGAGTGTCGTCCAGGAGGATTATACCAAAGTACCGAAGTACTGAGCTGAAGACAGAGCCAGCTTCACGCCACACACAGATGGATAGACTCTTTCCCCCTCTCTCTCTCCCTCTCTCTCTCTCTCTTTCTCTCTCCTAGTCTCACATTCTCATGAACACACACACACGCACACACACACACAAATTCACTCAGCTGTCTCCACCATTTGAGCTTCTCCTGCCTTGACAGCTGTGCTAAATTCTCACGCCTCATATGTCCGACACACACACACACACACACACACACCTCTCAATCAAGTTTTGACATGCGTCCGCAAGTTACCATTCTTGTCTCATCGTTTTGTGTTTTTTAAAGAGACATTTATAATGTTTTGGTAATATTTTTGGTGGAAGCCTGAGAATTTTGCGGTTTTGATACTATGCAAATGTTCATTTACGAGTTGTTTTGTTTTCCATGGCTGACCTCAATGAATCGCTTAACATAGTTGGTAGAGAGAGCACTTTAGTGACATTTGGTGAGCCGAGAGCCGGAGCATCTTCTGACTCTGGGGCATGGAGGATGAGAGGGAGACGGGAGGCTGTGGGTGGTGGACGTTCTCGAGGATTAATGCCACTTTGTGATCGTGCAGCTGGTATTTTTGGTGCGGAGGGTGGAGGAGAGGCCCAGGGCTGAGCCGGGGCAGGGCTGCTGTGGTGGAGGTTTTGGCTTCTGTCATCAGCTCCTTGTACCCAGAAGCCCTGATATTAACCTCCATTTACACCCACCACCATCGCCTCCTCCTTCCTCCATCCATCCGTCATCTGTTAGCGTCGCTGTCCTCTTAGGTGTGTCTGACTGGTAACCAGTAGCTTTCCAAAATGACTAGTTTTGCATGAAGTAAGTGTGTATGTGTTGACTGAGGGTTTTTTCTTCTAATTCTATAGTCTCATGTTATCATGTTTTGTATTTTTACAACTGTATATATGACTGGTAAGGGATTATGGCACTTCAGTGCTTGGTCAGCGTTTTACATGAGAAAGCTGTCACCCACATGCTCTTGTTTGAAGAGTCCTATTGTTCTTTGTTTCCTCTCTATTGTTTATGATGTACAGAATGTGGCTGCCACAGCGGCTCGTCAGCACTATTTTGGTCTGAATCAGAGAAATTGGATCCCTTAGAGTGAGTCTGTCTTCACTCTTGAAGCTGTGTTTTCATTTCTTTAACATTGCATGAGTTTGTGAGCAGACAATATAGCTTGCAGTGATTCTATATAATACAGGCAGCTATGAACAGACATTTTTTATCAACTCCTGCTCTTTGCTAAAAATTTGTTTTACATCAATGTTGCTTTGAGTTTTCCCCCCATCCCACTTCTCGTCATCTCGGTTCCTTCATTTTAAACACGCTATTATTGCTGAATTTAGTAGATGGATTGCACTTTTATGTGGTTTATATTTGACGAGTCGTTTCAAATCATGTTCATTATGCTGCAATGACACAAGGGCAGAAAGTGTTCATGAAAGAAAATTGTGTGTCAGAATCAGTCAGCCTCTATTTTGTGACCTGCCAAATTGAAACGTTAATTTATCTTAATGGGAGATGAAGGCTTTTTATTGTGTGTTTAAGATATTTTTACACTTTTACAAAAAAATGAATATTGTTTAGAATAAATATAGTAAGACATGTTTAAAAAGAAATATTTCTTTTTGTTATTGAGGATTATTAATAAACCTGAATCCAATAGAATCCAGTGCGCATTTCTTTCATTTTGTGTTTTTTGAAACTAAGTTCATCAGAACTTGACTGATCTTCTGTCAGACAGGTTCCTGTTGGATCTTTCTCTTGGTCAGTCAGATGTTTTGCCTAAATCAACCAGAAGATGGCACTACATATTAATCAGAGCCACAAGCTCAGACAGCAATGCATTTGGACAAGCTGTGCAAAATGAGTATGTTATCGTGTTTTAAGTGTAAAAGGATATTCTTGGTCAGTGGATTCATTATGTTTTAAAAAGCTTGATTTGTAGAAGGTGCAGGTTTAATTATCAGCGTAATTCTAAAGAAATTACTTGTTTCGTTACCTTCCTAGTTTTACACCAATCACCTTATTCATTTTTTTTTTTTGTGGTTTATTTCCCAGTGTAGTCTTGTCTTGATTGTATGTTCTTGTTAATTTAGTTTGACTTCCCTGTGGCTGAACAGAACAAAGAGCTCCACATCCATTAACTTCACTACGCTAACACAAAAGAGCTCCTCCCATAAGGTTTAAGTTCAATGACTCTTATCAAGGAAAGGGAGCCTCATGATGTCATGTCATGCCAGAAGCTATACCTCACCGCTGACACATCAGCACTGCTTTTAGGCAAAATAACACAATCACGGCACCGACCTTGCTGCTCTAACCCACTATTGTCTAAGACACTTAACCTCGGTGTAATAAGTACAGCTTAGTGTTCTCTCACGAGACTGTTTTCAAATAACTCAACAGAGCCGCTCATCAGGCACCTCTGGCCATGCTGAGGGCTTCAAGCGGCAAATATCAACTTCTCATTTAAACACAATATTGGACTTTAGAACAACTGTGCGCTCCAGGAAGAGATTATCCACAGTCTGGATTAAAGCTCCCAACATGTTAAGGATCTTCATCTGGCAAATGGACAACTTGACAAAGAACAAGGTTTATTTAGGCACAACATTGATTACATCCTGTTGACATTATAGTCATGGTTAAGTGTTGTCATAGTCAACAACAATTACAATATGACCCTCGAGACATGTTGTCAAAAAATCGAAATAGCTGCAAAATCACAAAATAAGTTAGTAATTGAGGGAGAAAACATGGTGAGGAATAAAATGGATCATTTTTGATATACCTTCTTGTTCTTTTGTTTCTGGATGAGTCAACTAGACTGCATCATTGTTTTCATTTTTTCAGATTTTCAATGAATCTTTTACTAAGCAAATATGTCAATCATCCGCTGGCTCCAGCCCACGAGAAATTGAGGATTTGTTGCTTTTCTCTGTTTCATATCAGTGTAAAATGAACACTTTTGGAGTTTGGATTGTTGGTAGAACAAAAAACAAACAACCTGAGAAATTAGGAAACTGTGTTTCTCAAATGTGATATTTTATGCAAAATTAGTAAACTGAATAAGTTTGTATTTTGGACAAAACAATTTCACTCTGACTCTAAGATAATTGTTTTTAGTATTTTTCGACACTTTACAGACAAAAGTATTAATCAAGACAATAATCTGCAGCTGAATCAGTGAGGAAACAAGTTGCTGCCTCAGTGCACGTGATATGTTTGAATGGAGGCTGTGGAAAACTAAGTAGGACTAAAGGCAGGATGCAGTGCTCTCCCCCACGCCCCCACACACACATATATCATCCAGTCCAAATACAATGAGGAAGGAAAGCTTCCTGTGTTTTTTTCCACACAACTGTCAGTCAGTGAGTCCAGGGCAGAGGAAGTGGGACAGATGATGATCCCTCTAAGACCAAATGAAATAAAAGGATGAATAATAAAGACGTCAGGTTCGCGTGTTCAGTAAAAGTAGCCCGCAGTGAAACGGATTTGAAAAACTTGACTCTTTTGTAAAACTTTCTTTTCTCAATGTGCATACATGCATTTTATACCACTGCGCATGTCTCATGCATACAAATGAGATGTATGTTTACCAGCATGTCTTCTCTGTAAGTATTGTCTCCCTACCATTGTGTGTTTTTTTTTTTTTCCCGTTAGCGCTCTGCTCCACTGGTGCTCATCCAACACAGATGATGGTGGGGGGTCTCTCTACGGCTGCTGGCTGTGCTCTTCCTCTCAGCATCCTGTTCACATTGTGTCATGACTCATGAACATGTTCAGGCAGCACCCCCACATGCCCCTCAGTCACCCCACAATGGACGCCACCTCCACCTGCAGACTGACCCGTCTGCCTGGTCCCCTTCCTCCCGCACAGACCCGCACTGGCTTTCCTGTTTTCAATCTCTCTCAGGGATCATACATAAACAAACTGTGTGCTCTCACTCACTCTCTCACACAAATCCGCCTGATAGATATGTATAATAACATAACTTTCAGGGTCTATCCCTTGTCTGGTGCAGATTACTTTAAGCCTGAGGAGCTCTCATCAGAAATGAGCAGTGTGAGTCACAGTGCCCCTGTATGAGATGGAAAGACAATCAGCCGAGTTCCATTAGCTGTTTAAATTGTTTCTGTGATAGGCTGAGAGGCGGCAAGTGGCTGCAGGTCAGTGGGTGTCCTCCGCCTCATTTCCTGCCCAGCGGCTTGTAGGGCTCCAGCACCAGAGAAGAATTATACCCTGGATCACACTCAGACCTATACCTTCCTTTCTCTCGCTTCCTCTTCATACCTCTCTCTCCCTCTCTTTCCTCTTCTGGGCTAATCCAGTGTGATAAGCACAAGCTCTTCTCTCCATGTGAAGACCTCTGAAATCACTCTGCTGCAGCTGCACTGCTCTGTCAAACGCGGGTGAGCATCGGCAATATGAGTTTGTGAAAACACACCGTTTCCACTCCAGCCCGGAGAGATGAGAAGAGACTCTCGGTGCCAAGTGTGGACCGAGCCAGAAAACTACTGGGTACCAGCTTTCGCTGAAGTGTAATGTTGTGTTGCTTGCTGAGGTGTGGTAGCCAATGAAGTGTGTTTGGTTTGTTTAGATTGCTTTGCAGCGTGCTTCCAGTGATGGCAACATATTCGTTAACGTGAATACTTTTCACTTGTAATGAGCTATTTTCAGTATTTGTACAGTTTTGCTTACTACATCTATTACAGTCCCTAAAAACCTGGTTTTGAAATTGTAAATATTCCTCTAAAAGAATACTCATGATTAAATAAGCATCAAAGATGACTGAACAGCTGAAATGATTAGTCGATTAATCAACTAGTCAATCAACAGAAAATGATTCAGCAACTTATCTTGACAATTGATTCAAGCCCAACACTCCCTACTTCTAGCCTGTCAAACGTCATTAACTGTGGATTTTCTTAGTCTTCTATGAAAGTAAAATGTATTTAGGACAGTTGGTCTGACAAAACAAGACATTTGAATTTGTCACTGTTACTTCTGGGAAACTGTGACGGACATTTTTCACTATTTTCAGACATCTTACTGAAACATGAATCAGATTAATGGATAATGAAAGTCATTAATAGTTGCAGCCCTAGAATTTAGAAAAAGCATACTAAGTTAATTAAAACTCAGCTATCATCTTCATCAGGACTGTGTGGATGTGGCTTGATCACATTTGATTGACAGTTGTGCGTCTCCCTGGCAACATAGTGCATGACATCTTTTTTTTTTTTTTTTCTCCCATCAGAGTCCTGCTGACCAAAGAGCACAGAAAAAACTCAAATCTCTCCTGGGAGAACCAATCGTTTGGCTAAAGAAAGACACGCCTGTTACCCATAAGAAGAGTCTGATTTTCAGGGCAATTAAAGTAAAAGGTCTGAATCCTGCTCCACCCTCTATTTCTCAGAGAGAACACAGACTCTACCAGCTGTAGTTAACATCTTCTGCGTATCACACCTGAAGGCTGTGCTTGAGGTGCTAATTATCTGTCATTGTGTCCATAAATACCTCATAATCACACTGTAATCTTTTGTACCAAATCGAGACCATAATAATGTTGTATCAGTGTACCCCATAAGCTATGATGAGGTACCTCTGCGCTGAATACTCCGGGGTGTTTGTGTGTGTTGGTTTAGATCCACTGTAACTTTGTGTGATCGGTGCTTGAGTGGGAGTTTTATGTCTGATCTGATTGATGGGGGTGGTAGTGGAGGCAGGGCTGCCCTGATTGGAGCTGCAGGCAGCACTAGGCTTCTTATTAACCTATGATAATGCACCTGTCACCTTGATACCAAAGCCTCACAGCACATTTGTTGCGGATGGCTGTTCTCGCCTCTTCTTCGCTGTTTTTTTTCTTCCTTCGCCTCCCTGCTCCATCCGTCTCCTTCTGTTTCTATCTTCTCTCTCAGTGTCTTCTGCACTCTTGTGCACTAACACACACATAAAGTAAGCTCTATCGTTTGGAGAGTCGTGCTGACACTGTGCCAAAGCTGCCTGTAGCAGATGGAGGTTTGTGCATGTTTGTTTCTCCCCCCTTACCTCTACTGAACGCAGCAGCTACAGTATTTAATAGGATCTGTGTTCACTAATGCACCGGCATCTCAACTGTTCCAGATTCCATGATTGTGTTTGTGTGCTGACTCCAAATGCGACTGCCTCTCCAACAAGGCTAGCAGTCTGTGCGTTCCAAACCAATTCTACCATACTATTTATTATCCCATAAAAAGATTTAGTATGTCCGAATTCATAATATGTCAAATGCAGTACGCCAAAAATACCAGGATCTCTCACGGACTCTCAGACTTTTGATGCACGCTCCCGCAAAGTCTGTGAGGGTTTAGAATTGCCCCGATTACCAGTGGAAGCATGGAGACGTTTAAAAAAGGTAAACAAATAGGACGGTTCATGGGTGTTCAGCCTTGGAAATTAAATTTACTGAGAAACATTACAGATTAAAGATGGAACGTAAAAACACATGAAATCAGAGGAATGGAAGCAGAGATGCACAGATTCATTAATCAAACATTTCATTTTGTCATTGAAGCTGTTTTGACAAAAAAATGAGTAAATAGAATATTTGAAGTTACCTGTCATCTTGGGAAGGAAAGAGCCTGGAAGACGTTCAAATTAGGGAGTGAATAGTTCAAATACATGCC